AATTCCTCTCCACCGCTTATCAACATTGATACAGCGTAATAAAATTAATTATGATTTTCTTTTATGTTTAAAGAAAAGAAATTGTTTAGTAATGACACTGGAACTTTAGAACTAGTTGAATTATATTTTTTGTTTTTGGGTTTAAAAATTTTGTCTTTAACAAATTCATTTAACTTATTGATTATTTCAAAATCCTTCTCCCCAATAATTTTCATATCAATTAATTTTTTTCTTAACCATCTTCCTTCATTAACTGCTTCAACTAATGTGAGTTCAAGTTCATTCAGCTTTTTATAATTTTTTTCAACATTTAAGATCTTTTCATTTAAGATACATGTCAGTTGTTTATGATGTCCAAAAATTGTTTCAGTAATACCATAATTTAACTGAAAATTAGAAAATAATATATCAATTGTAGTTGATGAATTTGTTGTACTATCAGTAGTTTTCAAAATTGAACGTAGTTGTCTTGAATCCAATAATTTAAAAAATGAATGTGATAATTCTTTCTTTAAATTATCATTCTCCGTTAAGTGATATTGCTTAGTTGTTATGGATTGTTTTAGATGTAAAAAACCAGTTGCCAAGTTTATTAAGTGCAAAACCTGCAAGCAACCGTATCACCTTAGCTGTGCTAGATTAGTAGTGGTTTCAAAATCAGCAAATTGTTGTGCTACATCGTTTGCTGCTCCTCAGTCTGCTGGTTATTCTGTACCAACTACTCAGAATCAGTTTTCCTTCAGACCATCTAGTCTTTCCAACCTAAAGCGCAAGGACTCTACTCACTCTAGCTACCAATCTGCTAATTCATCGCCAAAAACACCGCCTGTTATTTTAGGTGACGATTCTGTCTTCTTATCACCAACCGCAACAAATTCTGCTAAGATGTCTGATCTATCTAATGAAGCTGGTGGAAGTTCAACTGAAGGAAATTTAAGTGATAATAAGCCTGGTGAAGCTAGACCGAACTGCTGACATATCCAAAATCCAGGCATCAACACAACAAGACATAAGTGAGATAAATAATAAATTAAGGGCTAATTCCATTAAATGCAATGAAAATTCAGTGTCTATTGGCTTACTAAAGTCTACGATTGATTGCATGGCTGGTGTCTCATCTCATAACCAGATAGTCAATCAGCATATATCTTCGGAGTTATTGTTATCTGGTGTTCCTGATAGTATTGTTGTCGAAAAATCACCAGAGCAGATAGTTCATCAAGTCTTTGATAAACTTGGAGTTGCAAATCTTACCTCAGACATTCTGAACACTCGTGAGTTTAATACCAAAAAGAAACAAGGTGTCTCTAATCAAAAGCAAACCTCGCGTTCATTCGTTTTGCATTTAAAATCATCGGATGTTTGTCAGCATATTATTGACAGAAAACGTCGCTCACCGAAACTTGAAATTAAAAACATTTTCGAGTCCAGTTCCAACGCTGCTTCAGGTCAACAAATCTATATCAATGAATTTCTTGATGGTCATGTTTATCGACTATTACAAACTGCAAAAGCAAAAGCCAAGGAATGCAAGTACAAATATGTTTGGGTCTATAAGGGAAAAATTTATGCAAAAAAGGACGATGATTCATCTAAGTTTTTAATTTGCTCTGAAGCAGATTTAGACAAATTTGAATAGCAATTACCATGTCAAAGTAATGTCACTATATCATCAATAAATATACTGAGCTTAAATATAAATAGTTTCTCTGCCCATACAGCCCAATTTGAGGCTCTAGTTACCGAGCTAAAGCCACACATAATTACAGTTGTTGAAACCTGGCTTACTCCTGATAGTCATATTGCTCTGAAGGATTATGTAATTTTGCGTCGTGACCGTGGATTGATAAACTCAAATGGGCATTACATCAGAGGTGGAGGCGTTGCATGCCTAATACATAATTCTCTAAAATCGAAATTATTATTATCATCTGAAACTGATGACATCAATCATCCTGAATACATGTTAATTGATGTTTTATCATCATCTGGATGTCGCATACTCCTTTCAGCTATTTACAGAAGACCACAGGGATTATTATTAGATAGCTTCATCACACATTTTGCTAAATTTTATCCATCATATAAAAATATTATCATCATGGGTGACTTGAATTGCAATCTTATGAAAACTGATCGTTCATCAAATCACCTCAAATCTTTCATTGCTGATTCGGGACTTTACTGCATACCATATGGATCTACATTTCATACTTCTGGAGTTGACTCGTGGCTGGATGTCATTATTGTTGATAGTAGTGATAAATTAGAAAGCTATTCCAAGTCTCAAATGCCTTTCGTAGGTGGTCATGATTATTTATGCTGCAAATATAAATTTGAAGTGGCACCAAAATATGATAAAACAGTTAAGTTTAGAGATTTCAAACATTGTGATCATGAAGCTCTTACGATTGATTTAAATCGAGAATTGAATTTTGCTAATGCTAACCTCGATGGCTTGGATCCAAACTACTTAGTTGGACATTTCATCAACGCAACTACATCAGCCTTAGATAGCTTTGCTTCTTTTGTCATCAGGAAATTGAGTCGTCCAAGCAGTCCGTGGTTAACTAGTGAGTTAAGGCACAAATTTAGGCAACGTGATAATCTATATAAAAAAGCACGACGAACTGGAGATCGAATTCTTCTTGCTCAGTACAAGATAAAACGGAAGGAATTGAAATTCGAACTGGCCTCTGCTCGAGATGCTTATTTCAAACAAGTTCTCGATGTCACCAGCAGTAATACAAACTTATGGTCAACCCTCAAGCGATTGGGTATTGTTAAATCTAAAAGCTCTTCACCATTGGACAGCTTTAATGCTGACTCTTTGAATAATTTCTATGCCAATATCTTAAAGAAACATCCTTCCTGTTCTCGTGAGTTCGTAATGGATTTATCATCAGTTACCGAGAGGAAAGTAAATAGCATATTTAGTTGGTCCAAAATTGATATTGTAGATGTCACAAAGAATTTACAAATTACTGTGCAGAAGTCCAAAGGCAAAAGCCCTGATGGATTGGATCTCAAGTGGCTGAAAGATCATCTACCACAGATCTCGATTTTTCTCATGAACATCTACAATAGGTCTATTGACACGTGCGTCTTTCCTGATGCCTGGAAGCTGGTCTATATTGTTCCTCTAAATAAAATAAGTGCACCGAAGTCTATGTCAGATACTAAACCTATAGCCAATGTATCCCATCTTGCCAAAGTATTTGAACGTATATTGGCAAATCAGCTTACGAATTATCTTGAATCGAATAGTATCATTGATGAACATCAATCTGGTTTTCGGAAGCATCATAGTACCCAAGCAGCCCTGCTCCGTTTGACTGATGAAGTCCGCAAAGCCATCGACAGAGACGAATTAACCTACCTCATTTTATTTGATTTCTCAAAAGCTTTTGATTATGTTAAACCAGAAGTGCTATTTGTAACAATGTATCAAATAGGTTTCTCGACTGAGGTTATTCTTTGGTTCCTATCGTATCTTACTGGCCGATCGCAAGCAGTTCTAAACTATGATTGTTCTACATCTGATGCCATAAATACTACTTCAGGTGTTCCTCAAAGATCTATTTTGGGCCCCATTCTCTTCCTCATCATGATCAATGGAGTGACGAAACGACTGAAATTTTGTCAATATGGCCTCTTTGCTGACGATAAATCTGCATACTATCATTTTGATCTTTCCCAACTAAACGATGCAGCGCATAAAATCAATACTGATGCTCAAGCAGTAGCTGATTGGGCAAAGGAAGTGGGTCTCGAACTCAACCTTGGGAAAACTAAAGTGATGATTCTAGGGAGTAGTAGGAAATTGAAGCTACTTAAGGGTTGTGATCTTCCTGAAATAATTGTAGATGGAAACGTTATCCCATATGTTAGCTCAACTAAACATTTGGGTGTTTATTTATCAGCAGATCTTTCTTGGGATCTTCATGTTTCACAAATCTCTCGAAAAGTCTATGGTACTCTAAATAATCTAAAATATAGGAAGAATATACTATCTACCTCAACCCGGAAATTGCTGGTCGCTGCAATGGTTATTCCAATTATTGACTACTGCTCTTTGGTCTTGATGGATGTATCCAAAAGGCTGGATTACAAGTTGCAACGCTTGGTAAATAACGACATAAGATTCATTTTTAACCTGAAACGTGATGAGCATATAACACCTCACAGACGCTCGTTACAATGGCTCACAGTCAAATCGAAGCGTTACTACTTCTTGGCTTGTTTTCTGTACAAACTTTTTAACTCTGGTGAACCTAAATTCCTCAGAAGCATGTTTGTTGAAGAGTCACCAGATATTAGACGTTCTAAGAGAGTGGCTGCCAGACAGAACAATATCACATTTAAAATTCCTAATTTCTTAACTACCTCCTATGAACATTCATTCTTGATCTCATCGATACGCCTCTGGAGAGAATTGTCACCTGACGTCATCAATGCACTTAGCATAGACACTTTCAAGACAAAAGCTTATCAATTCTTCCATGATCTTGAGCTTAAGGAGAACTTGACTCCCGGCTTCACCGAAGATAATTAAAATCGTTAAAATTTGAAGTGCTTTAGCTTTAGATTTGTAAATAACTGATGATATTTTTTAAATTTTCTTTTTTTTTGACTGTTTTCATTTATCATTTTTCATTCATTTTTCATTATTCTGTTAGCGAAATCTAAATACTGTTATAATATTTATTTAGATATGTTTATACTCTTACATGTACTTTATATTCTTATATTTTTGTATTTTTGCCATTCGACCATTGCCTTGGCATTCAAATTAAATAAATAAATAAATAAATAAATATATGTTTAAATCACTTAAAAATATAATTTTCTGACATTTTTTTTCTGCAATATCTATCATTTTTTCAATTTTATCTTTTATTGATGAGTAAGGAGTTGATGGAGGTTTATAACCTGTACATATTGCAATGTTATTATACACGCCAGTTAGAAGTGAACAGGAACCTAATTTTTCTTCGTTATTATAACTATAATAAATAGGAAATTTTTTATCTTCTCTACAGTATATCACTAACCCATACGCATGTCTTACTCGAGTTTTTGCTACATTAACACGATAAACAATTTCATAACCCGGTACTGTAATATCATCTTTAATTTTTATCCACGTCTCTGTAGCTATAAAAATACAAGGCTTGTATAACTTCATAAAATTATTAAAATCCAACCAGTGCGACTTTTCTTTCAAGCTTTGTATATTTTGATAAACAAGTGTTTCTGACTCCGAATTATGAATAAAATAACATGATAACGATAATTTCTTCTTCAATAAACGTTTTATTTCAATTAGTACTTTATCATATGGGTTTTGATGTAAAGGAATTTTTAAATCTCCTACGATAAATAATCCAACTAATTTTGTACACCTACTAAAAGCTACATAAAATTCATTTTTTCTCATTCCTTTTGCTAAATGTAAAGCAACAGTTTTATATGTCCCACCTTGACTTTTATAAATTGTAATTGCTTCTGCCGGAACAAGAGGAAATTGTTTACGGATTATTGTCACAATTTTTTTTGTAGGTTGAATATTTTTAGTTATCTTGTCTATAGCAGTCCAATTTTTATGACCATCTTTATAAACTTCTTTTCTTTTCTTTTTACCAATTTGATCATCAGAAAAATCAAACCAAAGTCTAAAAATTTCTTTGTTATCATTCAATTCAAATCCCTTTAGTATCCCAACTGCACCATTGACAAGTCCATCTTCAACATCAATATTTACAGTCAACACATATTCGATACCAATGCTTAATGATAAATTAGAAGGTAATCCTTTAGTATCCTTTGCTCCTATATTTTTACAATAATTAATTAAATTTTGTTCTACTTTATTAGAGCACTTTCCTGTAATTTTATCAACTGCAATAATATTTTTTCTAAAAACATCTTTGTTTATTATTTTTTCATTATAATTATCAACTTCGTCATTAGTACGAAATAAATGGATTGCATCTTTTGGAATATCATTATTATTATGAACTATTCTAGATTCGAAAAGTTTTAAATCATTTTTAGATAATGTTCCATCAGCTAAATTATTAAGAGCTTCAGCGAATTTAAAATCATCCTTCTGCCGCATTATTTCTGTTAATTGATAACTCGTAAATAAATTCCATAAAGGATTACCGATTATATCTCCATAGAGATCCATTGAATGAGCATGAAAAATATATCTATCACCGACAGGAGCTAATTGATTAAAATCACCAAAAACAATTACTGATATTCCACCAAAAGGTTTTGAAGATTGAAAAATGCTTCAACCGACTATCAACTTACTGAATCATCCTTGAACCTACCATGCTAATTACATCAATTACAATTAATCTAAGGTCCTTTAATTTTGCATACAACGTATTTTGAGTCCCACTGCTCAATGGAATAAGGTCTGTTGAACATTGATTTAATGGAAGTATAAAAGCTGCATGTAAAGTTGTACCTTTTATTCCAAATGCTGCTTTTCCTGTTGGCGCACACAGTAAAATTTTTGTTGATTCTAAATTATTAGATTCGAAATTAAAGAATCGAAGCATAATTTGGTAAATAGCTTCTATTTATCGTGATTTACCTACACCAGCACCACCCATCACACAATAATATAATGGTAATAAGTAAGACTTGGTCTTAAAGCAATGCAATAAATTTAATAAAAATGTTCTTTGTTTTTTATTAAGAAAACAAACTAAGTTAATAAAATCTTCCTCCGAAATCAATCGAGGTATTGACGTATAATAAACATCTTTATTATCATCCGCTTTTTTTTTATTTTTAGCTCCATTTTCATTCATATCTATAGCAATATCACCTTCGTGAGTAGGATCATCAAAAACTTCTAAATTTCTTGGAATATTTTTCTCCGCTTCATTTTCATTATCAAATTCAATTATTTTTTGAATAGCTTCATATAATATATTTTCTACAAGGCGCGCAGTAGCCTATCGGATCCGGCCCTTGCTACCAAAGCATTGGACCGGGTTCGAGTCCGGCGTACACCAATGAATATTTTCAATATTTAAGTGTATTATTCTGCTCAGCCCAAAAAATACAAACGAGTTCCAATCTTAAAAGTTTACCCCCTACTGTAGTCGCTCATGACCTTAGTAGTTTATGCGACTTTAAACAAATAAAAAAAAAAAAAAAATATTTTCTATATTTTCATTATAAACGTATTCAGATCTTCTTTGTTGAATTAAATGTTGATTTTTTAAAAATAATTTAGAAGCAGAATTGATTAAAATATCTTCATTACGCCATGGCACAAATAACATTACATTTTCACGAATGAAATTATCTTTATCTATTTGTTCGTTATAGTTTATAAATCGAATAATTTTTGATTTTTTTCTTTTTCGAACAAAACCTGAATTATCAATAAGTTTTAAAGATACAGAATTGTCAATCAAATCATCATTATCGTCTTCTTCATCACTACAAATTTTATTTTTCTCATGATATTCTTTTGTAGAATAATTATACCAAGATACAAACGATGCAAGGCATATATTTTCTAACTCATGTGGACGAGAGATGTAATGATCTAATGTACTTTTTACATAGATATCTGTTGAATTTAATGGCAGTTTCTCAAGATCTCGTTTTGATTTAACTACTTGAATTCTATTTTCAGGATCATTTGTATTTATAAATATAACATCTCTTGAAAACTTTGATAAAGGTAATGCTAAAATATAGTAAACCGCTTCTTGGGAACCAAATTCACTTGCTTTTAAAAATGCATTTGCAATCAATCTTAATTGTTCTTTCATCGTATAATTTCCTCTTTTAACTTCATTTGTTACATCATACATTAATCGTGAAAGATCCGAAATAGATTTATTTAAGTAATTTAATACATAACTTGCACACGAATACATATCTAATATGAACTGAATATCCATATTTGCAGAATGAAGTTGTAATAATTCTAGATTATATGAGTTAATCATACATTTATATGGATTTCTGCGTAACATAACTGTTGGTCGCTGTAAACCACTACGTACAACTTTTATATATAAATGATATGTTATTTGAAATTTCTCTAACATTTGTTTTATTGTAATAATACTTTCTTCTTTAAAGTTTTCTTCTAAAAACTTTTGTATTTCTTCTCGAATTTTTCGTAATTGAATTTTCTGTTCTTTGTCAATATCAGATAAAGGCTTTAAAATACACGTTTTAATCATTGGAAAAAATGGAATATCAAAACGACATTTTGTCTTTTTTATTCCTTTTTTACAAGTAAATGTATGTCTATGAGTTTGTAGCTTGATAAGTTCTTTTGAAATAAACTTATTCGAACATGTAATAAATTTATCAATAAATTCAATCACACTTGAATTATCTTCTTCATCATTATAAATTGGTGCATTATGAAGCCATAATAAGCAATGAATATGTGGAGAACCTCTCTGTTGAAATTCAATCCTATAATAAAAATCTTTTATGTTGTATTCACGAAAAATACTGTTTTTTTCCTTTAGAATTTTAAATAGTTCCCTTATTCGATAATCAAAATATCTGGCAATTGTCACTGGATCACTACTAATCAATCTTGCTTTTTCCTTATAATCCATTTTTTCTGCTTCTTGTAACGTAATTTCTTTTTCATCAACAACTTTTTTTAACATCACAATTGATTCAGGCCATTTGGTTTCTGCTGCTGACAAAGTAAAAAATATACTTGAAGGGCCAATTTGTCTAAATAAAGCGAAAACGTTTTTTTTCTTCTCTTCCCAAAATGATGGCGACCCACGATCATGAGATAAAAATTTGAATCCACTATCATTTAACTCCATATATTTAATGTTATTATCGTCTAACATGTCTCCTGCTTTTATTAATTTTGATTTCATTTTATTTTTCCGTAAACAAAAATTTATACTTGATGCGATTTTTGATGTTCGAAGTTTTAAAGCTGAGAAAAATAATTTAATAATCGTAGCACATCGTCGATCTGACCTCATTATTTCTGATTTGATCCAATTTTGATAAGTTATATGTTCAGGTTTTTTAATTAACTTGCCCCCATAAATTTTTAGAAAACTTAATGCTTCAGTGTATTTATCAAACAATGAAACTGGTAACTGACCTTCTCCTGGAGCAAAGACAATAGCTTGCGTCATTAAAAGAGTTGATTCATCTTCTATGTTCACAGGTTCTTCTTCTTCAGAATTATCATCTGATAAATTATCCTCGATATCATCAACATTATTAATATTTTCCGAAGAATTTTTTTCTGAACTATTATCATTGTTATTATCAGTACTATTTTTCTCTCTGTGAAAATCTAATGTGATTTTACAATGTTGGTAGACTTCAGAATCTTGTAATACTAGTGCAGCCTTCTTTATTACTTGAGGCCGAACATTTTCAAACATAACATTAGTCTTGAAAGATTTTTTTCTTCTGAAACAAATTGGACTAATCATCGCTTCAGATTGAACTCTTGGAAGAATACTAACAGAAGTTTCAACATTTGTTGGTACATTAACTGCTCGACCTTTAACAAAATATTGACCATAATTGATAATTGCACGAATCATCATAAATGGAATACGAGGACAAATGAAGCGTTCTTCAAGTTCAGTTAAGTTGGAAATTTCATGAGGTACTTCTGGAAATCGTAATTCTTCATAATACAAAGATAAAGATGGAATTTTATTATTTTTTATCGCTCTTTCGCAACTTGAACATAAATAGCCTATGGTAAATTTATCCATCATTTTACATACTAAATGTATTTGAGATAAATCGTAATGTTTTAAATCAGTTTTCACAAAAAATTTTAATGATGATTTAATCCATAAACGACAACAAGAAGAACATTCATAAGTTGGACCTTCTAATTTAGATAAATTAAATTTATAATATAAGACACTGCGTTGAAAATCTTTATCTTTATTTTTTTTCAATGCTTTTGAGTTTAAAACTCGTTTAACATGTATTTTTTTTCGTTCATCATTCTGTAATCTTTTTGTTTGATTAATAGTCAATTTTTCATTATGAATTTCTCTTCTACTGGTGATACGTAGTCGTTTATTTTGACAATCTGCATTCTTTTTGTTATGTAAAAATCTTTTCTCACCTCCCTGGCGGTTTTGTGGTCACGGTGAAAATACTATGGAAAGTCGGTAGTTCCCTCTATGGTCAACAGTGAGAACTTAGTATTACAGTAGTGATTTCACGGTGAAACATTGGTGACTTTGTTTCATTTCACTACTGTCAAAATATGGTATATATCAGATCATTAGACCTTGGTAAAATGGTTCAAACGACATTTTTATATGGCAACTATGGAGTGAAACCATTGTAAAAAGTTCATAAATGTATAGTTATTTGACAGTCAAAGCACTTTTGTTACACAGTAAAATAGGAGTGAATCCAAAGTCGTTTCACCGTCGTTTTACTGTCGTTTCACCGTCGTTTTGCTGTCGTTTCATCGTCGTGTCACTGTCGATTTACCGTCGTTTCACGTTCCTTCCTTTGTCAAATAACACTCCTTTGACCATCTTTGATGAATAACTTACTCATAGAAAATCCCATTTGAAAATGCTAAAAATCTCCAAAAAGCAAAAATTTTGTAATTTTAGGACAATAATAATTTTAAGTAATATTTACCGTTTTTTTTTAATTTATTAATTACTAACTCCTTGATACACTACTAAGCCTGTACAGCCCGACGTGAGTTATGAGTACCGATGTTCACTGAAAATTAAATTTCAGCTCACACCAGGATTCGAACTCACGCCTCACCAGTCCCAAGCAAGCATGACGGCGGTACCATGGGGGATCAGAGGATAGAAGAGAAAGGGGTTTAGGGTTTAGTGGGTATGGGCTAGTGTCAAA